TTGATTATCGGGATCTTAACAAGGCAAGTCCAAAAGACAATTTCCCACTGCCGAACATCCACATATTGATTGATAATTGTGCCAAACATGAGATTGGTTCTTTTGTGGATTGTTACGCGGGGTACCACCAGATCTTAATGGATGAGGAGGATGCAGAAAAGACGACATTCATCACGCCGTGGGGAACATACTGTTATCGGGTCATGCCGTTTGGTTTGAAAAATGCTGGGGCAACCTATATGAGGGCAATGACAACAATATTCCATGATATGATACACAAGGAAATTGAGGTGTACGTGGATGATGTGATCGTGAAGTCTAGAAAGCAGTCTGACCACGTCAAGGATCTGAGGAAGTTCTTCCAAAGGCTTCGCAGGTACAATCTTAAGCTCAATCCTACAAAGTGCGCTTTCGGAGTGCCATCTGGAAAGTTGTTGGGGTTTATAGTCAGCCGCCGGGGTATTGAACTAGACCCATCAAAGATCAAGGCTATTCAGGAATTGCCACCTCCGAGGAACAAGACTGAGGTGATGAGTCTGTTGGGGAGATTGAATTATATCAGCAGGTTCATTGCTCAGCTCACGACAACTTGTGAGCCAATCTTCAAACTGTTAAAGAAAGATGCTGCAGTCAAGTGGACGAATGAATGTCAGGAGGCTTTTGATAAGATAAAAGGGTATTTGTCGAACCCACCCGTGTTGGTCCCGCCAGAACCAGGGAGGCCTTTGATTCTATATTTGACGGTTTTGGATAATTCATTTGGCTGTGTACTGGGGCAACATGATGTTACTGGCAGAAAAGAGCAAGCGATTTATTACCCCAGCAAGAAGTTCACATCTTACGAGGTGAAGTAAACTCAACTTGAGAGGACGTATTGTGCCTTAACCTGGATAGCGCAGAAATTGAAACATTAATTGTCATCATACACCACCTATCTCATTTCTCGGTTGGACCCGTTGAAGTACATTTTTCAGAAGCCCATGCCCACGGAGAGGCTTGCAAAGTGGCAGATCCTGCTTACAGAATTTGACATTGTCTACGTGACTCGGACCGCAATGAAAGCACAGGCCTTGGCGTATCATTTGGCCGAGAATCCAGTTGATGAGGATTATGAACCTTTGAAGACTTATTTCCCTGATGAAGAGGTGATGCACATTGATGAGTTGGAACAAGTTGAGAAGCCGGGATGGAAACTTTTCTTTGATGGGGCTGCCAACATGAAAGGCGTGGGGATAGGAGCAGTACTTATCTCTGAAACAGGGCAGCACTACCCTGTTACAGCTCAGCTTCGTTTCTATTGTACTAACAACATGGCAGAATATGAGGCATGTATCTTGGGTCTGAGGTTAGCTGTAGATATGGGTGTCCGGGAAGTCTTGGTCATGGGTGACTCGGACCTACTGGTACACCAAATTCAAGGAGAATGGGAAACACGGGACTTGAAGCTTATACCGTACCGACAATGCTTGCATGATCTTTGTCAACGGTTTCAGTCAATAGAGTTCAGGCACATTCCAAGGATTCATAATGAGGTCGCCGATGCTTTGGCTACTTTGGCGTCAATGTTGCATCATCCAGATAAGGCTTACGTGGACCCTTGGCAGATTCAGGTCCGCGATCAGCATGCTTATTATAATGTGGTGGAAGAGGAACTTGACGGTGAGTCGTGGTTTCATGACATCAAGGAATATATCAGGATGGGGATGTATCCGGTACAGGCCACAGGTGACCAGAAAAGAACGATTCGACGGTTGGCAAGCGAGTTTTTCTTTAGTGGTTCAGTGTTGTACAAAAAAACTCCAGATCTTGGGTAGTTAAGATGCATTAATGCGAGGCAGGCCACAACTATCATGACTGAGGTACATTCCGGAGTTTGTGGACCGCATATGAGTGGGTACGCTCTGGCAAAGAAATTCTTCGAGCAATGTATTATTGGCTTACTATGGAGTGGGATTGTATCAGATTCGTACGCAAATGTCATCAGTGCCAAGTGCATGGAGATTTGATTCATTCTCCACCATCAGAATTACACACGATGTCAGCACCGTGGCCTTTCGTTGCATGGGGCATGGATGTCATTGGGCCAATTGAGCCAGCAGCGTCAAAAAGCACAGGTTCATTTTAGTGGCTATAGATTATTTTACCAAGTGGGTAGAGGCTAAAACGCTCAAGTCTGTAACCAAGAAAGCTGTGGTGAATTTTGTGCATTCAAACATTATCTGTCGGTTTGGGATACCAAAGGTGATCATTACAGACAATGGAGCTAATCTCAATAGTCATTTGATGAAAGAGACATGTGAGCAGTTCAAGATTACCCATCACAATTCTACCCCATACCGCCCTAAGGCAAATGCTGCGGTTGAGGCGGCCAACAAGAATATAAAGAAGATACTTCGGAAAATGGTAGATGGTTCTAGACAGTGGCATGAAAAGCTGCCTTTTGCATTGTTGGGGTACCGCACCACTGTTCGAACTTCAGTAGGGGCGACTCCTTATTCATTGGTGTATGGCACCGCAGCAGTGATACCCGCAGAAGTGGAAATCCTGTCCCTTCGAATTATCGCGGAGGCTGAGATCGATAATGATGAATAGGTGAAAACCTGCCTGGAACAGTTGAGTTTGATCGATGAGAAAAGATTGGCATCAGTGTGTCATGGCCAATTGTACCAACAAAGAATGGCAAGAGCGTACAACAAGAAAGTGCGTCCGAGGAAGTTTGAAGTGGGACAGTTAGTGCTGTGACGTATTTTGCCTCATTGGGCTGAAGCAAAAGGAAAGTTCGTCCCAAACTGGCAGGGGCCATTTGTTGTAACCAGAGTGTTGTCTAATGGTGCACTATATTTGACGGATGTGGAAGGAAAATGTGTAGAAATGGCTATCAATTCCGATGCGGTCAAAAGATACTATGTATGATTTCTTTGTTTAATTGTATTTGTTTGTATTTGGCATATTTTGAAGATTGAAATGATAAAGGCGTTTTATTTTGCTATCTAAACACTTTATCCTTTGTTACCCCTTTGAGCCTTGTTTATTTTCTTTCATACCCCTCTTTCGCAATCAATGGCATAATTCAGAAACGCAAGTGCAGAGGATAAGTAAGTGAAAAGAAAAGGAAGGAAGGAAAAGAAAAGAAAAGAAGAAGAAAAATGAAAAGAAGGAAAAGAAAAGAAAAGAAGAAGAAAATGAAAAAAAGGGAAAAGAAAAAAGGAAAGGAAAAGAAATGAAAAGAAAAGAAAAAAGGAAAAAGAGAATAAAAAGAAGAACAGGAAACAAAAAGAAAAAGAAGAGAAAGAGGAAGGAAAGAAAAGAGAAATCACAACAACAAAAGTAATTTTATGACCTGAACTACGTTTGACTTGATCCCAAAAAGGTACATAGGCAGCCTCTCTCTGAGGTTCAGTCACACCGAAATAAAAGTTCAAAAGTCCCCAAGGAAGAAACTGGGGCAGAAGTTGTGGTTGTGCAAGAGATTTGATTCCGACAGTTGTAGTTTTGAACCCACGTCGAATTGTTTTTGAGCCTTTGATACCCTTTCTTTCTAACCTTGTCCAAAAGCTTGCATTACGGTCCAAGGAAAAGACCTTATGATCAGTCTTTAGGGAATGCCAAGTCGAGCAAGAATAGGTGATTTATGTTAGGGACAACACTCTGGTCCAAGCAGAAAAATGATGAAAATGAGAGAGTCTTATTGGTGAAAACCCTCACGGGCACCGTAAGGCGAAGTGAGTTGAGAGAAATAAAAAATGAGAGAGTCTTATTGGTGAAAACCCTCAAGGGCACTGTAAGGCGAAGTGAGTTGAGAGAAATAAAAAATGAAAGAGTCTTATTGGTGAAAACCCTCACGGGCACCGTAAGGCGAAGTGAGTTGAGGGAAATTAGAAATGAGAGAGTCTTATTGGTGAAAACCTCACGTGCACCTTAAGGCAAAAGTGAGTTTTCAGATGGACAAATGAGATGAGTCTATGGTTGAAAGTTGTTCAAGACATTGCAAGATGAATAAGGTTAAGGTTTGGGTTGAAGAAATCAGGTTATGGAATCCTGGGGCAACAAAGCGTGGCAATTGAAAGTTGATTGGTTGGACAGATTGGGCCGGTTAGTCAAAAATACATGGCATGTTCAATGGTACCAGCTGTTCCTCTCAAATAAGTTTCTTTTCTTTTCATTCCTGTTTATAAATCGTCCGGTTTTGGATCCTCTTTATCCTTAACTCTCAAGGTCATTGCATTTCATTCATTTTTGAGGTTTGTTCTTTAAGATGTTTTTAATGTTGGTCTTGTCCGAAACAAAGAGGAAAGGATGTCAAGGCTAACTACCAGCTTCCCAGTTGCAAAGCACAACAGGGCCGGAATATACCAAAGATGTAAAAATGCAAAATAAGACACAAAGGATCATCGGATGTTTCGTCGGTGGACTGGCCAGATAGTTTTGTGAGGAGAGGCAAAGTTTCAGATAAAGGGGTCAGAAATGTACAACAACAGGATGGGATAGAACACTCGGGTCATCAAAAGTCATGGGGATTTTGAAAGGCTGTCAGGAAGTCAAAGCGGTTCGAGGCAAGTTCAAGAAGAAAGGCGAGGCAAAACACAGCAGCGGAGACGTCTTCAGCAAGAATGCCATCAACTAACCACCATTTTTAAACTGACAAGATTTTTCTTTAATTAAAACAGGGGCAGGAAGTTTTCGTTGGTTTCGGAGAAACCCTCCTTAAGGGATAAAGCAAGCACCAAAACAGGTTTGACCATAAACTCTCAGGACCCTCCTGGAAAATGGGACTTAGTTTAAATCTCAAAACAATCATGAGTAGCATAATTTAGCATAAATGTACCCCAAAGGAATATAAGTTGGTTTCCAAGTTTGCATGCTTAAGATATGATTCAACTAGAAGTTTTCAGGACCCTCCTAGATAATGGGACGTAGTTTTAAGGTCTTTTTAGATAACAAGATACAGTGGAAGTCGTACTTTTAGTATAAATGACTTAGGCTAAAACTGTTCTTTTTAACTAAAAGTTGTCAGGACCCTCCTGGATAATGAGGAGTAGTTTAAGACCTTTTGATAACAAATGTAGTGGGAGTAATACCTTTAGAGGATGTAACTTAGGTTCGTAATTGTTAGGAGTTGTCAGGACCTCTCTGGATAATAGGACCTAGCTTTCAAATTCTTAGTAACATTTGGCAATACGATTCAGTTCTACACTCACAATCTGTACCCAGCCACCAAACTGGGGCAGAAAATTGTTCTTTGTCTTGTCTATTTTTGTTGAAATCAGGCGCCCACCTGGAAAACAAGGGAATACATTTTAAGTTCAGCAATCAGGCGTCCACCTGGAGAACAAGGGAATACATTTCAAGTTCAGCAATCAGGTGCCCACCTGGAGAATAAGGGAATATATTTCAAATTTCAGCAATCAGGCGCCCACCTGAAGAACAAGGGAATACATTTTATGTTCAGCAGTCAGGCGACCACCTGGAGAACAAGGGAAGTACAATTCAAATTTTAGCTTTCAAATTTTTAGTCATGCTTGGTAACATGATGCGCCCAGCTACCAAACTAGGGCAGAAAATTCTTCTTTGTTTGCCTATTTTTGAAATCAGGAGCCCGTCTGGAGAACAGAGGCATATATTTCAAGTTTTAGCAGTCAGGAGCCCGCCTGGAGAATAGAGGCATATATTTCAAGTCTTAGCAATCAGGAGCCCGCCTGGAGAACAGAGGCATTTATTTCAAGTCTTAGCAATCAGGAGCCCGCCTGGAGAACAGAGGCATATGTTTTCGAGTTTTTGAAGTCGGGAGCCCGCCCGTATAACAGAGGCATATATTTTCAAGTGTTGAAGTCGGGAGCCCGCCCGTATAACAGAGGCATATATTTTCAAGTTTTGAAGTTGGGAGCCCGCCCGTATAACAGAGGAATACATTCAAGTTGAGCAGTCTGAAAGAAAGGAAAAACATATCAGTTCGCAATTCAAAGCGGCAACAATGGATTTCACCGAGAGGATACAAGACAACAAGGCAACAAGAAATACAAGGGCAAGTTTGAAGAATCTAGATAGGATTTTTGTAATTCATAGATCATAGCTTAGTCTAACTTCTTTTATTTTGACATGGTGTAATAAGGGGGATCGGCAAGCAGTAGCAGCAACGGCAACAGCAGTGAAATCACAGCTCCTGGTAGTCCCAGCTACCAGACATTCCCGAACTACACTGACCTGATTCCTTTTTAGCCAAGGATATGTAGGCAACCTCCGAAGCAGGGTGCGGTCAACTCTTTCAAAAATGCTTCACAACGGAGTATTCAAACGGGCAAAAATCGCTCGAATCCGCTCACTTATCTTTGCACGGAAACTCTTCGTGTTCCCGAGCAAAGAGGGGCAGCTGTGAGCACGTGATTTTTGCCCTATATGAATTATTCCCAGAAATTCAAACAAAATGATTTCTTTCATTATTTTGTAATTTTTGTGGCATTTTGTGTTAATTGTTTGCATTTTTGTCTCCGCATTTTGATTAATGAAATATACTAAAAAGGGGTGTTGCATGTGCATTTAGAAGCTAATTTTAGCATTTTGCATTAATTAGTAATCACGTTATTTTATAAAAAAAAAAAGAAATCACAAAAATAGTTCAATTCGCACTTTTAATTTTGACTTTGATTTTGAGTAGTGTTTCTTTCGAATTTATTTTGTGTTAATTATCATATAGGTTTAATTAGTTTTAGGGTAAATCGAGGTTTAGGAATTAATTTAGATTTGTATTTAGTTGTAATTTAAAAAGAAATTAAAAAAGAAATAAAAAGAAAAGAAGGCAATGAAGAGAAGAGAGCAGTTGGGCCATTCCTCCACCAGGCCCAAGTCTTGAGCCCAAAATAAACCCCTGAAACCCGCCTGGTCCATACCCATTCCCTAACCCGGCCTGACCCCCGTCCCAAACGATGTCGTTTCGGCCTGTTAAATCTGGACCGTCGAGGTTACAAGATCTAACGGTCGAGAAGCCTACATCCATAACTATATAATTGTCCTAACGATACCCCCCCCCCCCCTTCAGACCCCCCCCTGCCTCTCATCTCTCACACTTCAGAGAACCCTCCATCGCCTACCACTGCGCGCCGCTGGCCGGAAATCGCCTCCGCCGGCGGCGGTTGTCCAATGGCCCTGAAATTTACACCATGTCCTCTTCGTCACCTCCCCGTTCCATATCTGCTATTGGTTTCTTTCAAACATCACCCAAACGTCTCAAATAATTCAAACCCTAGCGCCGCAATCGCCGTGTACGGCGGCGCCGTCCCCAATCCCAACCAAACTTACACCGTAAGTTCACCTCCACCCCCACATCACAAATCCACACCCCTGTTACTTCAAATGTTCCTTAAACTTCTCGAATATTGAATCTAAATTCGGAACCTGAGCGGGCATCGTTTCTTCTCCGATTTCTTCACGAGTTTTAGGCTCAATTTCATCGTGGAATAAGGTTATTTGACTGTTCTTAACTAAGAACAGTTGATTGATATTATCCCACGGTTGAAATTGAAAGGTCAACCGTGTTCGAGTCTTAATCAGTAAGTTCTCTTATTCTTGTTTTGTTTATGTCATTTTTTATATTTTACTTGTTCTTCCGTTTGAAATTAGCTAAACGCAGTTCTCCTCTTTAATTTGTTCTTCTCATTTTGACTGTTAGGTTTCACCTTTGTTTATACTGCATGATTCCGTGTTAAAATTCTATCCTTGTTGGACCAATAATTCAATTCTGTTCCTAGTAGTTAATTCAAGTGTAAATTAGGGTCGTGTGAATTGGTATTTCATTTTCGGGGATCTGTTTTGATTGGAGTTCAATACTGAAGTGTCTCAAACTTTTGGATTTAATCAAGGTTAGTCTCAGCTCAGTTAAAGGGTTTGTCGAAATTGGACATAGTTTTAGCTTAACCTAGG